TATATATATATATATATATATATATATATATATATATATATGCTATTCATACTTAAAATCATAGTTTGAACAAAATATCTTACAAAATCACGATATTAGTTCCGCGAACAAAGAAATACGATCAGTTTTTCTTCTTGGTTGACATGGTGATTGTACTTGTGACGAAAAAAATATATGTCACAGGTATGACAGGCTATTCGTTCCTACGCAATGTCGAGCTATTGTTCTGTGGTTGGCTCGTCTGACCCGACAAGACGATAAATGGGAAAATGAACATGGCTATGAATTACGATCTTCCATGTAATTATTATTGATTTTCTAACGAGTCATTTCGGTTTATTTATCTTATGATTAATTGAAGGAATCAACATTTTATAGAAAAAATTATCAAATACTTACATTATAGATATTTTAAAAACTTTCAATGTTAATTCATTTTCGTTCTTTTTCAATTATATTTTTAATATATATTACATTACAATTTATTCTTTATTATATATGACAATAATTTGATATAATTTGAGAATAAGTAATATAATATTTGTTATTTATTTAATTCAGTCTTAAAGGACGTCTGACTATATACTTGACAACTCTACTTCGCGCATTCTAATTTTGAGCTACAATACTGACATCAGGATTATAAATGTGTATGGGAATAAATTATTAAAAATTTTTTTGTGCGATATTGAAAAGAATTATAATTATATAATTAAAATTTTAATATTGAAAAAAATTTACATATTTACATTTATTTTTTTTTTTATTGTGAACATTATTTTTAATCAGCCTGATATATAGGTATAAAGGATGAAATTATAAAAGAAAATAAAAATATTAATAACACATTTTATTTTTTTTTTTATAGCTATGTTTTTAATTTAAAATATATGTTTCAAAGCATTTTCTATATATGTATATCAAAATAAAAATATTCAACTTGTACAATAGTATAATAAAATAGATATAATTGTATTATAATTTTTGTACATATATAAGTAACATTTTTTATTTCATTTGAAAACTGAATCAATTCTCAGAAATAATATTCTCAGAATAATTTGATCTAATTATACTAATTATGATATAATTTTTGATTGGTGGTCATTTTGGATAATAACGTATCCATTTTCTGTATGTAATATTCATTATTTCTTCTACTAAGTTATCTATAGGATGTATTATAATAGGTATAGCTGCTAAACCAATTAAAGTTGGAATCCACCTATTTTTTAAATGCGTATTATTGCTTTTCTTTTGTATAAATTGCACAGCAGCACAAACTCTGTTTATTGTGTAACCAGGAATAATTACAGATGCAAATGACTGCCATAACAAAGTGTCTGTCATAGAAAGTAAAACATTTTTTGATTTTGTAGTAACAGTGTTCTGAAACAAAATGATTTATATAGTAATATTTTTATTAATATTATATATTCAATATATATAAATATTTTCTTTTACATTTAACTTACTGAATAAGTGTTAAAGCCACTGTTTATTGTATCTGCAAGAACATATCCACTGGCTACAGTATAACTAAACCATACAATTGACTGTGGAATTATAGGCCTAAAAGCTTCTCCAATTTCATTTGCATATCCTAAAAAAATAATTAATAATTAATAATATATAATATATAATATATTACATTTTTTTTTAAAATAATGTATTATTCAATTTACTTAAGAGAACAAAAATTATTTACGAATAATAAAATAGATAACTTAGTTTTTTTACCTAAATATCTAATAGGAGTATCACGATATATATTTATTTCTTTTATTTCGTTCATGATATAAATTTTATTTATAAAATTTCATAGACTTATTAAAGATAACCTACGTCAATTATTTATATCATGTTGTTAAATAATACACATAAATGACATAGAATTGATTTATATAAAAAAAAAAACAAAAATTTTGTAACTTAATGTTCTGATAAATTAAAATAAATTAAAATAAATAATAATTATAATGCAATAATTTAACAATAAAAGAGAGAAAAGATTCAAAGAATTTATGATCAAAATTTTGAACATAGGGAATTTTATTTCTTGGTAATTCTGTTAAAATATCTGCAATTAACTTACGATATTTAAAATAATAAAAAGATAAACTTTTATAAATCAATTATATATATATTTTTATTTATTTATAACAAAAAAACAAATTTATAAATAGTAAAAAAATCGTTTAAAAATTTATTTTAAAAAAAGAACTTTTTTAAATATTATATGAATCTTTGTAAAACGTAATCAGTTATGTTCTTGTTAAATAAAATTTAAATTTTATGAAAGAGAATGATAAGTATTGCATTAAATAACAAAAGTTATATAAAAATGAATTAAAATTGAAGCATATTTATTATGCGATTAAAAATTATAAAAAAATTCAAACGTTTGATATAAGGAATATCAATAGTTACATATACATAGGAAATAAAGAATGTTGAAAAAGTAAAGTATTTTAATAGTAAAATGAAATAAATAACGAGCATTATAATAGTGTATTTATAAAGAAGCATGGCGTCCAATCCTATTATTTCGTTTGTGTATAACATAACCTATCAAAGTCCTTTAAATAAAAGAAATATTATCTCAAATTTTAACGGAATAGCGTGTTTTTTCAAAAATATGACAGGACCATAATATTTGTAAGTGGAAATACTTTGTACATCATTCAAAATGATAGATTTCAATTTAATTAGGGAATATTTAAGTATGCAAATTAATGAAATAATTTGTTGGTGGTGGTTTTACATCAATGAAATTTCATGGCAGTTATTAATAGCTATTACCGCATATCTTTGCGTTTGTATTTTTCTCTATTCAATTCTGAAGAAAGTTAGCCACATAGCGTGGCAGCTTCCAGGTCCACCTGCCAGAATATTGTTAGTCACAGCACATCCTGATGATGAAGTTATGTTTTTTGGTCCATTGGTATACTGGGTTACAAAATCCAAGGCTAGTGAAATTTATCTCCTCTGTCTTAGTAATGGTATGTTTATTGATCTCTTATAAAAATATTTCAAGAATTAGAATACCTTTACATTGTTACGTTGTTTTAGGTGGTGATAAAAGAAGAAAAGAAGAGTTATGGGAATGTACAAAAATATTAGGAATTCCTGAAGATAATGTAACTATAATAATGTAAGAAATTATTTAATTTATTTAATGTACAAAATAATTTATTATTAATTATTTAAATGTACAGTTAAATATTATCCTTTTAATCTTCTATCTTAGTTCAATAAATACATGTGTAGGAGTACAGAGTTACCTGATGATCAAAATGTACAATGGCCAACAGAGATAGTGGCAGAATTTATTTTACAATATGTAGAAAGTTATAAAATCAATGCAGTTATAACATTTGATAAACATGGTATAAGCAGACATAAAAATCATATTTCTTTATACTTTGCTATAGCTGCATTATGCATAGAAAAAAAAGTACCATATTGTAAGTATTATTATTTATTGAACTATTTAATATTGATAAAATTTTAAATAATTTAAATTTGTTTCAGATTGTAAACTATATGTTTTAGAATCTGTAAATATATTTAGAAAATATGTACAACTTTTAGATTTACCAATTAGTTTATTGACTGCTTCATATTGGTATTTAATAACATATAATCAAAAAAAAATTATAAAAGTAAATATACAATAAATATAAGTTCTAAAATATGTGTTAATAAAAATATATTTATTTTGTTCATAATTATTAACATAATTTAATTATTTTTACAGAAAGGTATGATTGCACACAAATCTCAGTATGTTTGGTTTCGAAAGTTATACATGATATTTTCGCGATATACATTCATCAATACCTTTCAAGAAATGAGTGCTCTTGATCTGGAATTGGATCTCCAATTTGATGATGAATAATCCAATTAATATATATTACTGTACAAATTGTAATTAATTGTACATATTAAAAAATAATATTTGTCTATTAATATGTAATAAAACAATTACAGCATTCTCAAAGTAACTTTTAAACTATTTTTAAAAATTAAATATATATGTTCTATTAGAAAATACTTTTTATTCAATCTTACAGACATATATAAATAATTAAAAATAAAAAATGTATCTAAAAAATTATAATTATAATAAATTCATTTTTTATCATATTATATTATATTATATTATATTATATTATATGTAATTCGTGCGTCAATTTTTATTATAGTATTATTTTAATTTGTGTAAAATAAAACGCATTTTTTAATTTGATATGTACTTTTTACATATAATGTGATTCGTTTTTAATTTATTGCATGCTCAACAGAAAACATTTTGAACTTTTTATTTTCGAATAATTTGAGCAAATATGAAATTATTATAAATTAAATTTATTTTGAAAATATAATTTAAAATTTATCTCTGCAAATAATATATATTATATGTAACAATTTTTTTATTGTTTAACTCACATTAAATTTGGCACATTTAAAATTTATGCATAAAGTATAATTTGAACTATTTTTCTATTGTCTTTAACATTTTACAATAAATTTGATTTTTTTCAAACAATTATATAGAAAAAATAGATTTGTGATATAAGATAATTATTTATGCTGAAAGAAATCATAATTATTTATTACAAATTCAATTAGAAATAAGAACATAAAAAATAATAATTCTTAATTTTTCCTTCAGCATAATTAGAATTTTTTAATAGCAATATATAATATTAATAATTTCCTTATCTTATTTTAAAGAGGTACAAAAAAGTTGAATATTTTAAAAATATGCTTATAAGAATAATATTAAACACAATATAATAATTTGTGTTAATAAACAGTCTTATGAATATAATATTAAAAAAATTTGTAATATAAAGTAATATATTACTGCAAATAAAAATTTGTTTATGAATCAAGTATACAATATATATCTTTATATAGCAAATAGTTTATAAAGTATATTCTTTGTGCGTTATATTTTGCACGTTTATAGTACTATACAATTTTATTTGAAATATAATAAAATATATTTAATTAACAAATATATATGAGGAATGAAATGTTTTTATATAGTTTTTATATAATTATACGCTAATGCTAGAAGTTCAACAAATAATCAAAAGAATTAATGTTACAAAAGATGAAATATTTTGTTTTAGTCATTTAATAAATTCATAACTTTAAAAAAAATAAATGCTAAAGACAGTCGCAGAAAATGGACGGCATAAAGTGTTCCCGCAAGATCCTCGATCAGTAAACTACTATCATATTAATTAATTAGTAGAATACTGAGTATAGGTACGTAGAGAAGAATAAGATTAAATAGTCAATTTTTATAGATATTTTCAATGTTTTATAAAGGATTCATCGCGAAGATCTCGCGGGCCGTATCCTAAAATCTATCCTTAGCACGATGCGAACTCAAAGTTCCCATACCAGGTTGAGGAGAGTCTGGATCCCCTGGATCTTGCAGGTACTGAAGTTCTTGTAATTCTTGAAACTTTTCATGATCTCTAATATGTGCATAATTAGCAGATAAACACATCAAATAATGTATGAGACTTAATACAACCAACATAGCAGCTATTGTTGCCAAAACAAACATAACCACTGCTTTTTCAACAAAATCTTTACAAAATAGTTTCACTTCTTGTGGTCCACATACTTTCATATCCTCTATTCTTGTATTACTTGGGAATATAAAACCTATAAAAAAAATTTAAGTATAATTATATAAATATAATTTTTTTAAAATCTCTGATTAATTAAAAAATATATTATAAAAACTAACTATACAAATCATTAAATAAACAATAACTTACTAAATTGAGTAAAATCAATACATTGATCAAGTGATTGGACACGAGGATTGGTGCATAAACCCCAGAATATAGTGAAAATCCAAGCAATTATAACTAAGAATGCAAATATTAAAAGCCAACCTAGTTGTAATATATAAGTAATTGTCATGAACTAAAAAATATAAAACATATCATTTTTTTATAATCTTTCATACTATGATATAATATAACTAATAACAGAAATTACATACAACAGCACAAGAAATACGTCCACCAACTCTAGATCTCCAAGCTCTATATACTTTATGTCTTGTAGCTCCAGTTGCAAGACAACCAACGCATAATATCATAAAGCCTAAAGCTGCCATACTAGCACCAATTGTTGCAAAAATCAATTGAATAGCTTCTAACCATCCAAGTCGTAAATGAAATACCTTGTAATATATGATTATTAATAATTATATTAAAAAAATAATTGATATATCACAAAAAAAGTTATATTGATGATTTACCTGATCCATCATTAAAGAACCTAATGTCACACCTCTATACATTGTGCCACAAAATATACCTACTCCTAAACAACACATTATTGTTGCAATAAGAGTTGCATATGGTACTCTAGCCATACAATCATTACATATACTTCCTACAAATAATAAAAAAAATTTATTAGTGATTTAATATATGTAAATAAATATTCTTATATTAATTTATAATGTAGAAGATTACCGACTGTTTTAATCTTTATCGTTACATATAAATTTATATTAAAAAACTTACTACATGATCGATTATCAAAATAAAGCCCGTGAAGACTTTTTTCGGAAAATCTATCAACACTAATATTACTTTCAAACCGTCTACGTAATGGTAATATATCACCTATGTCTTGTTGATTTCTCATATTTAATTAAGAATTTAATATTCGACATTCATTTTAAGTCTGCCGTAAAACTATGATTGAAACGATGAATGAGTAATCTTATATATGATAGATAAGATTACGATGTGTATCTTATGTGATTATCCGGTGTATTGAATCATTACTAAGAAATATTTACTATTCGAAAAAGAAACCTTTTTTCATTTTATAACATATGTGATAAAAATATTTTGTAAATTTTTTGCTTACCCATTTTTTAGTTTTAATGTTGTTCAAGGTTAAGTTTATTTTAATAAATATTGTCTGTTGTTGATTTTGAAACTACAACTCTAGAATTCTCTCAATTAATGTCGTAATTGAATGTCATTCTATTGTATTAGTGAATAACATCCCACATACTTCTCATAATTACACATCCGCACATTATATACCACTGGTTTATAAAGACTATGAAACTAACAGACTGGTATTAAATCGTTCATTAAAATTAATCAAAATATCTTTTATTTTATATATTTAAATAATTTAAGTTAAGAAGATCAATATACTTTAAAATATTTCATACAACAATCATTAATTTTTATATTAAATATTCTTTTTCTCGGAACATCGCTTGTTTTATAGTAATTCTTTAAAAGAAACCAATATGGCGACAAAAGGTAAAAGCAAATGGAATCATTGTTTTCTTAAAATATAATAAATTATAACACAATATTTTTTTTTAGTTAATAAAATTTTATGCTGAATAAAATAATGCTATAATAAATTAAATAACTAGCATTACTAAATTAAATAGTTTTATTTTAAATTTGATGAAAAATCACATTTGAATTTAAATTTCACACACATCACATGCGCGGGCATACACACATAATAGTATAAAGATATTAAATTGTTTACATTATAGAATTTTATAAATTAAAATTAAAATATAAAAATGTAAAAAAAAAAAAAAATAAAATAAAATATAACTATTTTATTATATTCAAAAAATCCGTTATATAATTCATAATTAAAAAATATGTAGTAGATAATTGTATAAAAATTATTTTACTATTATAATTATACTACTTTAAGTAGTCCAAAAAATATTTCAATTCATTTTCTTTAAAACTAATGTAAATATCATTTTAGATTTCATGTATTTAAAAAAAAAAAAAAAAATTAAAATTAGTATTTGCACTGATTTTAAAGAAAAACTGTTTGGAATACATTCGAATCACCCTATATATTTTATACAAAATATTTTATGTCTAAATATATAGTTAAAAAATTAAAACTACCGGATATTCTTATGTTTCGGTTGAACAAGATATTCAATAACTGTTGGCAGATGACGTAATTTTTCTTTAATAATATGTGGTACTTCCACATTTTGCTGATAATGCAGATTATATCTTCTAGCAGTACCATTACTACTTTCGTAAATTATATCACCGCCATTGTTGACCTAAAAATAATAATTTTTATTAAGTCATATTCTTAATAATAATATTTTTAATAATGTAATATAAAACATTTTTATTTACAATTAAAGAAGAGCCATCTTTATAATTAATATGGATATCTCCAGAAGATAATTGTGTTGCGGTACATATATCCGGAATGGCTATTTTACAAATACTATTATTACTAGTATTTCGTACAGAATTCATTTTTCGTGACCGTGATGTTACTGTTGAAATAACGGAACTCGCATCAAAAGATGGCATCTGAAATATTAATAAATTGAAAAATATCAATATACATGTAACACATTATATGAAAATTTTATATTAATTATTTACTACGGGTGTATTATTTGTTGCATGCGAAATATTTTCTTTTCCTTGTAAACAAGGAGAATCACTTAAGGCCGAACTAGGCCTGCGTCCAATAATGATAGGAAAACACGAATGATCTGTAGCTGCTTCCAAAGATGTAAAAGTAGATTCTATCAACAAACAACGTTTATAACATTCTGAATAATGTTCATAATAATCGTCTAAATACGGTGGAAATTCACCCTCGATATAAATCGGACCATCACTTCTTTCTGTTATTTTTACAATACCATCAATACGTTCAACCTGTAATAATACAAATTTTAATTACTTTAATATTTATAATTCATTTTATTTATTTTACCTTCATTCCATTATAAAAGTGAACTTCACAATTTGGATGTGGTCCATTTTCCATAAATAAACATTTTGATCGTTGAGTATATAGAGTTATTTTTGGAGTTTTTGCTCTTACAAGTTTTATAAAACGAGAAGCGTATATATATTTTTTATGATGACGAGAAGGTAAATTTTCATATGAATAAATACTGTCTGCTCCACGAGCTGGTAATGGGAGTGGTTGATTGCCAACATCTGTTGAAGATGTTGGTTTATAAAGAATAACTCTTAAACCATCATTAGATATTCGACACACTTCACTTATTTTTTCCTAGAAAAAAGATGATTATATATAAAAGATAATTAAAATTTATATATATATTTACAAAATATAATATAATTTATATTTTATAATATTTTTTATACATACTATGCCATTTCTACGTTTAATAAATTCAACGCAAACTTCTCCGTTATCTAAAATGGTAAGAATTGTATATTTCGTCTTATGTCTAGTAGGTTGTAATCTTTCTGTAGACAGAGGTGAAATTTGTAATTTTCCTCCATTGTCGGTACTTTCAAAACAATTTTCAGTCTTTTCTTTTTTTCTATACTTATCATTTTTATGTTTGTCAATCTCTTGATTTGTATCACAATTGCTATATTGTTCATATTGAGAAAAGATTTTGCTCTGTGGCGGTAATGGTATTCCGGCTAATACGGAATTTTGTTTAGCGCGATAATCGATACTATTTGTTTTACGTGAATACATTCTTATAATAGGTTCAGATAAAGGTTCGCTTTTTGTACTAATCATAGGTCCAAAACCATTAGACATAAGACCATTAGGCATCGTTGATGTTCTTTCTTCCGATCTAGAACGTATTCTTGGTCTCTCATATGAAGATAATGTTCTTCCAACTCCTGAATCAACAATACCATCTCCTAACAATCCTTTATTCATATTCTTTTCCTATTAATATAAATATTTACAATAAACAAATGAATAACTTTCTTAATCATTTTAGTTACTTACACTGTGTAATTTATTTTTTTTTAAATTAGCTATAAATGGATGTTTCGGAATATCACGTAAACGAATTCTATCTTTTGGATTTTTTTTTAAAAGTTTATCTATTAGATCTTTAGCATTATCTGATAAATGAGCTGGCATAACATAATCAGCCATAACTACACGTGTTAAAGTACTTTTAACAGCATCTGTATCAAAAGGAGGTTTGCCAACTAATAGAGTATATAACATGCATCCTAAACTCCATACATCTGCTTCCAAACCATGAGATGATCTTGTTGCTATCTATAATGATATAAAAAATGAATTCAATAAAGTAATATGAATATATCTTTCTAAATGTTTATATATTTCTAAATCATTTAACAGACCTCAGGTGATATATAATTAGGAGTACCACACATAGTTAAATGTTTTTCATCAGGCCTTGTTAATTGAGTAGCTAGTCCAAAATCTGCTATTTTCTATCAATAAAAAAATAATTGTTTTTAATACATTCAATTCAATTATAAAATTAAAAATTTACAATTTTACTTACTACTTGCATATCTCTGGTTAAAAGCAAATTAGATAGAGACATATCTCTATGAAGTATGCGATGTGAATGTAAATATAATAATCCTTGTACTACTTGTCTAATTATATGACCAGCTAAAAATAAAAAATATTGAATAATAATAAAAACCAAAAATTTATTTATTAATACCTTGTTCTTCAGGCAATGCACGAGATCCTTGTAGCTTAAGAAAACGTTGAAGTTCTCCATTGTGACATAATTCTAGTACCAAATAAACATAGTTAGCATCTTCAAAAAAAGTATACAATTCAAGTACAGCTGGATTTTTCAATTTTGAATGAATTGCTACTTCTTGATGTACTCTATCCACCATCCCAGCAGCTTGCATTAATTTTTTGTCGATCTAAAA